TGTGACAACCTGGCTCAACAGAATGAGATCCTACCTCAAATTCACACAAGTATAAAACACCAAGCGTTGTCCACTTTTTGTGCTGTGTCGTTCTCGTGCTAGCCAATTGCAAATTCTTGGGCAAACAAATTGCAAAGGCCCACGTCCCTCTCCTTTGGCATCTTTCTCAACCTCTGCTCCATCCTGGTCCATGCGACGGGGCTGCCAGGAAACAGTCGATCGGAACCCGCTAGATGCAACAAGCTACAGATCTTGCGCTAGGGCATGCTTAATCTCTACACGCCGCCAATAGCTAGGTGGTAGGCCACAGAATACCACTCCCTGATTGCATGTGAAAGGCCGCCTTTGGGCCATTCTCTTCAGCTTGCGCGCGGGGATGAACAAAGAAAAGCCTGAGTTGCTCTTCCGTTGACTATCTGCCAACCATCCGACAGATCTGCCAGCCATCTATCAACGATGTCCAAGCCCTCCTCTTGCATCACTCCTGAACCGTTCGAGGTGACATCTGCCCTCATGCAGCCCAAGCAGCCAGGAGGGTATCAACACAATACACCTCGGTCCGATTGGCAATGCATATGAAAACTTGCACTGTTGTCTCTACTGGAAGTAGGCCTCAGTAGCTTTTCCTGGCACAGTCAATGCAGCAAAGGCAAGTCTCAGGCGAGCACATCCACTGACACTGCGTGCAGCGAGCAAAAACTTGGTCAAAGTTAGACTTCGTTTGGTCCTGCAATGATCTTGTTCACTCCGGGACGCATGATGTTTCACAAGTCGTTGTGACAACACGTCGGTTGCTGAGTTTCAAAGCGCGCACTGACTTCTATCAACCATGACGAAAGAGTGAACCTGATTGATGCGCTAGACTTGCGCGGCCTCGCTTCACGAATACCGTTCAGCTATCACCGATCACGAGGCTGTTGGGTGTCTAATAAGTGTCTAATGAATAGGGACAAAGGCCAAGGGGCCAGCACCTGGCAGTGCAAGCAATGTGGCCTGGCCTGTCCTTGCTGAAGGCGCACGCCATCTGGAAGGTGCTGTCCCAGCTCAGGGACCTGGAAAAAGAAATGGTGGCCGCCTGTTTCACGATGGTGTTTCTTCATGTCAGCACCTGATATTCCAAGTGGTTGTTGATTCCCAGTACCAGCAGGAACTGGGCACAAAGATTCAGGAACAGGGCACGATCTTTTGCCAGGGCACACGAGGAAGCAGCAAACCTCCGACAGAAGAGCAAGGAAGCAGGACATCCCAGGCATCTTCCTTGAATGTCAGGGGATGATGCCCCAGCAACAGAATCAGACATTGCAGGAACTGTAGGAACATGTCAGAGCACGTATCTTGACAGCTAGCCAACCATTGGGTTTCGGTTTTCTGTCAATGAAGGAAAGCTCTTATGGAAGAACTCTTGGAGTGACTTGTGTTTTTTGTGAGTCATGATGCACTTAGCAAGTCACTGGCAGATCATGGTATTTACCGAGGCTGCGCTCCTCTCTCTCTCTCTCTCTCTTTCCATGAATTGGTTTGCTCGACGATTCAGCCTCAAAAACCACGGCCAAGCCTCTCGCACCAGAGATTAAATAGCAGGCTGCAAGCAAAGCCTATGCCAGTCATGATCATGGCGGTGTACATCTCTCCTTTCATGACATCTCCTCAAGACAAGGCCAATGAGGAGGAACCCTTGCTTGGACTAGCCTGGATGGATGACCGCACTTGTTGAAAGTTCAGTGTGCTTGGAAGAGGGAGAGAGAGAGAGAGAGAGAGAGGGGGGGGGGACAAGATACAAATGTAAGGCCCTTGGTAATGCGGTGTCCTTCAAGTGCCCTTAGCTTTTTTTTGTCCCTCTCTTTCTTCCCTCGTTTTATGCTTGGAAACATCCTGACCGGAACTTCTCAAATGTGCCCCCGGCCGCTTCGAAGCGGAAAGAACCGAAGGAAACCCCCAAGAGCCAAACAGTCCTAGAAGTGCCACTGATCGCGGCCTTCCCGTTCAGAACAGGAGTGTCCTGCCTTCTATTATGTACCATGATTTCAGGGGTCTGGGAGGACATCCTTGTCCAGAACAACGGCCTGCAGGAGCACCGTGACAAGCATCCGGCACTGGCCAGCTCACCCTGCATCAAGATGCCATAGTCAAGCCACTTGGCACAAAATAAGGCACACCATGCTGATGCAAAAGCCTGAGAGCGTAAAGCCCTGGCCCACCTAGAAGGCTTCATGATTCCTGATGATACATGCTGGCTCTCCAAGAATATGTCGCCCCTGTCTGAACCTTTCTCTATTTTTTCAGTTGCTGTTCCTTGAGTTTCGTGCAGTGGTGATTCACTATTGTCAGGAATGTGCCTTGCCAGCTTGAAAGCCAGCCTAAAGGTTGCAGCTGGGCGGCAAAAATGCGCGGCATCAACGATAGGATTGCAAGGGCGTGATGCATCCACATGGTCATACCGGACGTACCTGTCTCAGGGCAGGGATCGTAAAAAATGAGGGCCGGCCTCTGAAACAAAGCAGGATATACTGAAGGACTGCGTGCGGTGTCACCCCCCAGGGTTCGACAACTTGCTAGAAGTCTTGAACATCTTGCCGGGCATGACACACCCAAGTACCAGCAGCACCTTCGGCAGGTGCTTGCACCAAAGAGAAGGCTTTTTCCAGCAGAATCATCAGCAGGAGGAAAGGCAGCGTCACAAAGAGATATGCAGTTTCCTGCTCCAGGGCAGGGTTTGCAAGAATAGTATCACGTCAAGTGGCTGCAAGTCTCGAAAAGCCAAGTCTCCGAGTTCTTGTACTCGGATCTTTGGATTCCCGAAAAGTGAGGCAGTCGCCCTGCAAGGACAAATCGCCAAAACCTGGAACGACCACTTGGCAACTCGGTTGAATGTGTCGGACATGGAGCCCATGGCACCGGCACAACAACGCCGTATTGAAGCTCCATCAGTACGAGACTGCAATAAATCCTCCCTAGGCCCTAGGCCATCACACTTCAAGAGTCTATGAATGCAAATCTCCAACCTGAGCCTCTCCATTTCACAAGCTGTCTGGTCCTGTAAAGAGTCTTCTGCACTGCACAGATAACGTTAATGCCAGCCAAACTTAAGGTGGCAACTGCAAGAGCGTCAGCGAGATAGTCATTGACACGATGGTGCTGTCACTTTGTCGCCACTTCTCCTCCCAATCGCTGAGAAGGGTTGTACCATTGGTCAGTCTGTGGGGCCACCTCACTCGACCTAACGTACCTTCCAACTCCAGATGCCCAAACAGAGTTGCTGATTTTGTGGCAGGCTAGTTGCATTAAGGGCTTCATTTGGGATGGGTGACAAAGAACTTTCTGGCCTTCAGCTCGTCATCCGCGTCGCTAACCTGGCTTGCTCACAAATGACTGGAACGGCATTTGTAGAATATGTCAGTAACTACAAGCACTGGCAGGCCTTGCTTCGCAAGAAGCGAGCTGTGCTGAAGACGAAGGCTAAGATCAGAATGGTGATGCAAACCAGGCCAAAGCTGGCAGCTGGTGACGCTGTCCACGAAGGAGCTTCCTGCCAGAGCAGGAGGCTGTAGTTTCTCCTCTAGAAGAGGCTTCAAGGATCTTCTGGCTAGCAGCTACCACGTCCAGCAATTCTTCGTACATACTCCACAGCACGCCTGCCAGCTAGCAAAGGCATCTGCCCCCAGCATACCAACCAACTGTGCGCCAAAGGTGTAGGTGACGGAAACAAGGACCTTCCGTTGCCTGCCCCAGGTCACATCGTAAAGAATTTGGAAAACTTGGCATGAAGAAAACAGCCAGGAATCAATATTCTAGAATGAAGGATAGTCGGCACGACGACTGTTCTGGCATGCTTTCCATTGAGGATTGGTGGGTCGAACTCTTCAGTGCACCCTACTAAGCCCACAGTCACCTGCCAAGGACAAGCAGGCTCTGTTGAAGAATGAGGCTGAGAAAGAAGCGTAGCAAGGCTACCTAGGAAAACCAGAACAGATCGTGCAGTTGAAAAGCACCAACCACCCAAGTAGGCCAAGTCGCACCCTTTGCCCCCCCTACACGTCTAGCAGTCTAGCACAACTCCCCATTCATTCCTTTCGATTGGCTGATTGGCTTCTGTGAGTGCTGAGAGGCCAAGACAGCCCCCCGTGCCGCTGTGTGCCATTGCAGGCATTGTGCCAGTGCCTCTCCTCGTGTTTGCAGCAGTTGGATAGCTACATCAAAGCAACAGCAACGGCTCGTCTTCAAGAGCTGCCACCTCTTGGAAGACATCGACACAATGAGAGCAGATCTGCGCCTCAGGCCTTTTATTGAAGCCTCCTCTGCGACCATCTCATCTGTAACCATCAGGTTGGTGATTTCTCCTCAGGATCACGGCAGGATGAGCAACTTTCCCCCTGCAATCTCAAGAAGTTTGCCTACCCAAAGGCTCACATAGAAGGCTCAAACTGGTCTTGTCGGCTCTCCTCCAAGTGTTTTGTGCCGACATGATGATCAAAACCGAGTTGCTCACAAGGTAATACACGAGCAAAGCACTGAAGAATGAGAGACAGGAATTCAGCGTCTTCCAGGTGGCCTTGCCGGGCATTTTTGTTGCTCCTACCCTTACTGGCCTTGATGAAAAGCAATGATCAGCTCTGTGACTCTGTGATGTGTGCATTTGCACATGTCTACCGGCATCAGTCGCCCAAAAACCTCTGCATCATCCAAGCCTGCTGAAGTGGTGGATGGTTGGCTTGGGTGAGGCAGAAGAGCCCCATGAAGGCAGTGGTCATCCCCATGATGATTGTCGCTGCAGCCTGGGTAGTGAAAATGAAAGCTGGTCCATTAATTTGATTTAATTGTATCCATGATCTCGGTGCTTTTGCAGCATGTTGCCAACGTATTGCTCGAGATACTATCGGAACATCATGGTGGATCAAGTGCCCTCTATATAATAAGTTCCACGATGCCGTAAGCCGTAAGCCTTTCTATATAAAGGCCTCAAATATCAAGAGCCCACTAAAATCACCATCTTCCACATTGCACAGGAGCTGAGGCTGTTTGAGCGCTGTAGACCACTGCCGGTGGGCCCTCAGCCTTGGACGACGAGAAGGCAGCCACTAATAGCAATGGCTTGCTTTCTGCTAGCAATGGATTCCAACCTAATACAAGCCTCTATGACATTCATATGAGCGAGAAATCACCAAAAAGAGCTCATTCCCGAAATCACCACCAAGGCCACCAAGGGACGGAAAAAGGCTCCTCGGCGGTGATCTTAGCCCTCTTGCGAATTTCTCTCCAAAGGCCAGAGGAACTATCAAAGTCGCCTCAGCACTGTACCCATGCATTGGATGGGTAGAGTCACCGGGACTGCCATCAAAGCTTGGCCACTGGAAGGAGACTGTGTGGATTGACTTGCTGCTTGAGAATCTGCCTGGCAGCAAGGTGTCCCTGGTCCACATCAGCTTGCTCCAAATCAGGGTGTGGTCTTCTTTACATTCAACAAGAGTCACCATCACCTGGTTCAAAAATCGCCTGTAAAGCCTCGAGTTGCGTAGTAGCTTTTTCGTATTCCCAGGAAGCCCACACCCACGAGGTCTTTATTGTGTGCTGTTCTATCTGGTTGCGCTCGCATTGCTGGTAGTGAATGAGGATTCTCTGGCAATTGTGTACATTGACTCATGCTCGCCCCACTTGACTATAGGTACAACTCGGTACAGCTGCTCTCACCAGCAAAGCCGTGGAAAAATGATGTAGGCTACATCTAGGACCAGTAAGTTGAACATTGAGGAGCGCATCAGTATCGCATTGCGCGTTATTCTCATTTCGATGCACACTCAGTACATTTTTCTCAGCTCACGCCGCACCCAGTGCAATCCTGTGAAGCGGAGAGGCTACAACCCAGAAGTCCCAGGATCAAGCAAATCTCTTGCTTCTGGCCCAATTTCTTTTCCAATCAGAAAGAAGGCGAACCAAAAACACAAAACAAACCAGAAATAGAAAATTCATCAAAATTCAGCTTTAATGTCCCACACAGGGTCCCACACAAGTGTTGCCCAAGGGCCTCTAGCAGCTCGAACTGCCGGGGCTCCTTTCGCAACAACATCTCAGTCTCCAGTGCGGAGGCATCGGCCTGCGAAGTGCAAAGGAAGCAACCCTCAAGCTTTCTACAAATGCGGATCAACAAGGTCAAAGCAGCTGGGACTGTTTTTACTTGTTTCCTTCGGCGGATTGCATGTATGAAACAGGAACACCCAAATCTTCGGACAGTCACATACTTTCACATCACCCAGGAGTCCCAGGATAATTTACGGAATTTCTGGAAGGAGAGCCAGCAAAGCCAATCATGTTTTGCCCGTAAGGAACGCAAGCACCTCCTGTCCCTGAATTTCATAGGCCAATGAAGGACCTCGATGGCAAGTAAGGTACTCGATGACCAGCCTCAAGCCTTCCCACAACTTATCATAGACAAGACGCGGACAGAGACAAATCACAATGTGCGTGTCAAGGTGCACACTCCCAGATTGATCAAGGTTAGCGCTACGGCACCTGAAGATCATGGGCACAACCCACCAAAGATTCTGAAGCATTAAGACATGTGAAGGCAACCATTTGCTATCTCCTCTTGCCAAGACCCCTTTGAGTCATGATGTTGACTTTCTCAAAACGGGAGCCATTCACGTTTCGCGGCAAGCTGCAAGAGAGTCACCACCCAGGACTGTTTTGATCATTTTAATCTTCGCTCTACATAGGTGGGAACTCGGACGCATACCCCTTCATTCAATTGCTCAAAACCTTCTTGAAGATCGGGGAGGACATAGATGATCGATACTGTCACACAAAAAGCTGGAAATCGAATTGAAAATTGTAGTGTCACTTGCTTAGTTCCACCTCAACATCAGTTGTTCGCCCACCCGAATCATAGCTTAAACTTCGGGTGAGCTCCCATCGCTTTCGTGTCGTTTCGCGACTTCGACCGCCAATCCCCTTTCAAGGGACTTACACCCATCACACTGCAAAGATGAAGAACACCAGGCGCCAGTCTCTGAGCCGGTGATTAAGCCTCGAGGAGCCCAAGGGGCAATGTCTTGGCACATCAGAGGCGAAGTCATTGGACTGAGCGTATAGCTTGTACTCCAACCACAAAAAAAGAAACGATCCGTGACTCGCAAGCAGCACCAGTCCCTTCTCCAAGTGTTACCCATGGCGCCCATTGCCAAGCAATCCCAAGTGCCTGTGCGTAGACAGCTGGCAGGCCCAGCGGTTCGAGCCACAAAAATGCAGGAGATGCAATTATGACCGGCCCACCCCCGAATCCCAATGTTTTGGATCACGTGTCGCATTCTTTTGTGCAAAGCAGTGCATCTGTGCGAGAATACATGCTGCGGGAGTGATTGAAGGCACGGGAAAGACAAATTCCCAGCCAGTTACAAATAGACAACGGTGCTCTGAAGAGATTTTGTTGCACTTGGAGGCGGGCATGTCCATCTGCCTGGCAAGGACCTTGCAGCTCCAAGGATTTCAAAATTGCTGGAAAATGCATCACACGGAAAGCTGTAAGCACAACCTATTATTTCACATCAACTGGTTGACCGCTACTAGGAGCAAGGGCATCGCTACTGGGGGCTCGTGGCCTTACTACTAGGCGCAAGGACGCTACTAGGAGCAAAAAATGCAAGCTCACTTTTTGTCCGACCGAAGCTGTCAAGTTCCGCAGGCCTTGGTGAGCATTGAGTGGACACAGGGAATCTGGAACTTCTTGGGATTGCTGGAATGGGCTAGAAAGCACCCATATTGCCACCACTTCGCACTACATGTATGAAGGCCTCGATTGTTCAAGGCTTTGGCATCAGGGGCAACAGTCCACATACCTTTTGCACTTTTGGCGGAGCAGTCGGGAAAGGGCTCGGACAAAGAGCACTCGCAAAAGTCCACATCAACATGGCCCTGCTGCGCTCTCCTTTCCTGGCATCAGGCCCAAAACACTAGCCGGCAGTGGAATCTGGCTCCTATGCACTTTCTGATCCAGTTTGTCAACCCGTTGTCGCTCCTGAATGAGTCGCCACAAACAAGGTGAGCTAGCGGGATTGAAGCCTACACACATGGAGGTATGCAGCTGTGCGCAAAGGTTTGCAAAGGCGTGCAAAACCCAATCGAACAAAAAACCTTCTCACCACCAGGCTCAGCCAGGTGACGGTGCATGACCATGACAGGTAAGTGGGCATTTGGTCCAGCACAATGTTCTTTGAAGTCCTGAGGCGAAATGGAGGTGCCTAGCTTGAGCTCTGCAAATTGAATAGAAAGGAGTACATGCATGTTGTTGAGAATCATCATAAATTGATCATTATATTAGTTATATCAACCGTAGAGCGACTCCAAATGCCCAAGCAAGTAACCAGTGGCATGGCATCCTTTCGTTGGTGTGGAACCACACGCACCTCGTCGAGGTAGCAAAATGTGGAAAAGGTACGCATCAAAATCACTATCCAAGATCATCCAAGCCTTTCCAAGGTTTCAACCCAACAACGGGGGGGTTATCCTGCTCGGAGAAAGGATCTCCCATTGTCCACGCCTCACCACGCTTTGCCAGCTCGAGGATGTATAAGCCCACTGAAACATCTTCTCGATAGGGAAACGGCTCTAGGCGACCATCGAAGAGAGCTGTCCCTAAAGGGATCACCACATCCTCTGACAGTGCATAGGCCATTCCACGGGCATAAGGTGGGTAATACCTCATTCAGTCACGGCCTGCATTATTATCAGGCACTCACCGAATGACCAGTTGAATTGGAGGTCTGCAAGGTTCGGCTCCCTCTGCAGACAAGTTGCTGCATTGGGTAGACCTGCAAGAAATCAGCTCAGATCGTGACAGACCCAACAATTGACAACTTGGCCTCATGGGGAACAAAGTACTTGTCGGAGGCAATGCGGTTGGGCTCTACCAATGCCATGACCTGAAGGGTGCAACTGGAGAGTTGTGGGGGATGTCACCCCATCCAATTGCCAAGGCACATGGCCCCACAGCAGGCCTTAGTCTCGAAGCTAAAGGTGATCACGAGAGGCTGATGTTGTGTGATTGCGGCAGGCCTACGGGCGCACTGGCAATAAGGTCAGCCGTCACAGTGTCAATGTCCACGAAAGCGTCGTCATCGCATTTGATCAGGAAACGCAAGTGGCGCCTGAAGCAAGGTTTCAAGAGCCTCATATTGAGAGATCAAGTATATAGTTGAGATTTTACGCTTGTTATGGGTCACGTTGGGGTTGAAGCCACTTCCGAGTAAGGAATATGCTTGCACTATGCCAATGCAAGTGAAACATGTGGGCACCCACTTGAAACCCCTTGACCGCTTGCCTGGAAGTGCTTGTTTGACCAGACACATCCTGCGGCTGAGGGGAGCATGTTTCTCGCTTTGGATAATTGCGCAATGCAGCTGTGAGACTAGTCATCCAACCTCAATACCTTTGGCCTCAGTCTTCTGGCCTTGAAATAGTCCCCTCCAAACTTCAGAATGGCCGCAGTTTTCAGCCAAATACTTCCAAAATCCTCCTCCAGCTCTGGTAGCAGCCTTCCATGAGTAGAGTAGAAAGGAGTGTCATGCTTGGATCTGACCAACTGCTTTCAACTCGAAGCAATGCTGGGAACACCTCAGGCCCTAGGGAACAGACCACCAAACATGCAGCCCAATCACACAACGTCTTGTAGCTGGGCTTGTTCGTCCAGAGCTTCATCTCCCCGCCCCAGGAAGAAAAGCACCTCAGGGCGTCCAAAGGGCAGCAAGATTCACAGAGCCAAGAAAGTTGTGAACTTGTTTGTGTTTGCCTGCAGAATTGCCTCCTGTCTGCGGGCCGCATCGTGTCATGTCACGAAGTAAGGGTGTTGGCAATGTGATGTTGGCTTTGGATCCCCAAGTCTGTCGGTCGCTCTGCTATTCAACTATAACTATCCGTACATGACGTTGCTCCAAGCATCCCGGCCCTCAAGCGCACCAGGCCAAAGTGGGTGCGAAGCATGGGCTCGCTTCCCCACGTCTGCCGAATGATGTCCCTCAAGTGCCCTGAGTTTGCACGACATTCGACATGCTCTGCCATCATCTGCTTTCAAGACTGCTTGGGCGGGAGGCGGCTGAGAGAAGTAGACGAATGATAGTTGTTGGAGATGGACAGAAGTCCTCTGTCATTTGGTATGCCGTGCCGTTATCGTGCGGTCCAAGCGTCGGTTTCCAACGGCTGAGGCGATGCAAACCACCAGCTCCATCACATAGGATGAAGAATCCTGCTTGCTCGCAAGGAATGTGTGAGCCTCTTCTCCCTCCCAACCCCCTATATAATCAATACGTCTTTACGTGTCCAACAATGTGTAACTTAATGGCACTCGTGCATTCTCTGAACCAGTTGAGGCTTGGCCTATGGCAATGGTCAACAACACATGGGGTGTCCTCGGAGTGCGAGAGCTGAAGCAACTGCTGTCGCTGCGCGGCGCTGGCCAGCAACAGAGCTCGCACGCGGGGATCTTGGCGCCAATACAAGCGGCCTCACTCGGACTCGGGTTGGTTTGGGTATTGGAGCTGATGGGGCAGTTTATTCACCAAGCAGGGGATGCCTTCCGGAGGGGGCAACGAAAGAAATGCATCTACATGCATCTACAGTGCATGCATCTACACTCTGTACTAGCCGAAGCTGTCCAACATTGGATTCTAATCTGCCAAGGCGAGGTGCTCAGGAAATAGTTTCCTTGCCGCTCCATGAAGACGCGCGTGCCATGCTCCAGAATACCCTGGGGCAATGGAAGGGACGTGCTTGTCGGATTTGCTGGTGTTGCATGACTTGCCACATAGCTTTGAAGAAACATCTCCAACTATACCCATGAATGTCATACTTGAAAAAGAAGCTTGGGACTGGTCTTCATCAGGACTCTTGTAGAAGAGTCCTGTAATTCGCTTTGGCATGGTCGCCTCGGGTGAGGATAAGGTATGGATGATGCCCACCATCTCCTCCGCTGTCTCAAAGCGCCAGCGCGTGAGCAGTACATTGCGTTCCTCCGGCCCCGCCCAGCTTGTTGGAAAGACTCTACACCCGGCAAGATTGCAAAACCAGGCCTATGTAAAGTTCCTGTGACACAAGTACCTATAGGACCTATACCCTATGTACATGTTTCTACTGAGATCTTGGTGCTGGGCTGCTGGGCTCGACGCCCAACATGCACTGCGCAGCAAGCTGCATCACCTGGCTGAATGCCTGTTGCAAACAAGCAGCTGAGTACTCATAGATGGAGGGTGTTCCAAACCAAATTGGCGAAATGCCACGAGCAATGCACTCCAGAAACTCGTAGCTGATATCCTCCCAGAACATCAGCCGGTAGGGAGCCTGGTCACCCTGCAGGGAGAACCGGGAAGCGAAAGGTGGCTTGATGAAACAATCTTCCTTGTTATAAGCACTGTAGGTGCAAAGCGGACCATGCCTGGTTCTTACTGCAAGTTCTTAAGGAAACTAATGATAAAGGCCTTTCCTGTCGAATTGGGTTCCCAAACCGTCAACCCTGTCAGACTCACCAGGCGATGCCTTGCAATCCTCTTCTGTGAGGCAGACCGTGAGCATATCTTGACGTGAGAGGTCCATGAAAAAGCTATTCCAGTAGTCTGGATCCTGCACCACACCGCAACTCAGGGTGCAGCGCAGCCAGCGCAAAGGCAGCCATCATAAAGGTGATAGACACAAGAAGAAGAAGAAGAAGAAGAAGAACAGCGAGAGAGAGAGAGAGAGACAGAGAGAGGAAAAGAAAGAAAGAATCAAGGGCATCAAAAAAGAAAAGAACTAGCCGCTATTTGAACAAAAGTTCAGGTTCTGGAAAAGCATCCAGGCTGCTGTCCTGCAGCCATCTCTGGGGATTTGTCTGGGCTTCTGCCGAGTACACCTGAAATAGGCTCCATGGAGGGCTCAAACCCATGATTTCAAACCAGAATCTCGGATCTGCATCATCTGATTGTATTACTCAGATTCCCCGGCCCAGGCACACTATACGCGTGGAAGGACACTGCTCGCGTGACCCGGGGCAAAGGCTCCCCTGGTGCCCATGGCAAAGGCACCATGGGCGCATCCGGAGCCTCATGGGGATCCACGGGGAAGATCCGGCATTGGGGTGGCTGCACTCGGAAGGTGTCCAAAAGATATTCATCCTGACAGAGAGCAAGGGAGCAAATTGGAGGCAACAACTTCCTTCACATCTGCACCGTTCCATTGTAAACTGCACTTGCTACTGCACTCAAAGCTGGATATGACCAGCGCTCCTCAACCAGCAACGCATGGTACAGGTCACACAACTGGTACTCCTTTGGTACCCAGTCAAGTGTTGGTCCACGACCCTTCGCCCAAAAGACGTGGAAACTGCAGCCTTCCTGACAACAAAATGACAGGGAAGGCCAATGCTGCTCATCGAAAATAGAATGTGTAACCAAGCAAAACAATAGACAGAAACCGCTATCTGACACAAGGCCAGCATCTAGCCGCACAAACATCAACAGTAGAATCATGCTGCTCCGGCATACGAGGTACAAATGGACCTTGCAGCACTGAGTCTGCATCCAGCTTCAAGGCTAGTGTTTGCGTGTCGCTGGTACCACTTGCCATGAAAACATCCAATAACACGCAATCCTTGGTGGGGACGAGCGATGACCTTCTCAAGCGTGGCATCATAACGACACCCCTTGCCTAGCCAGAGGGGGCCTTCAGTGGCTAAGTCTTCCACCAAGCTGCTCCAAAGACACTGGGCTGCTGCCTTACCTCCAGGCGCCCGGAGGTGATGTGCAGCTGTCGCACAGCCAGGGATGAAGCGCTCCCATGCAAGCGGGGCAAGGCCTGGCAAACGGCAGAGCGAAAGGATTCTGAAATTCAAGGCTAGCCAGGCTAGCGGCTAGTTGGTAGCAATAGCCAGATGAATATGCAAAAATGATCAAACATGTGCATAGAACGAAGCCTATTACCACCATAATCAGCCGGTGTCTAGGCATTATTTAAACTATGACTCATACAAATGGGCACAAATGGGCACCGGTCGCAGGACAAACACTGTGACTCTTCTTCGGTCTAATCCTCCTGTTGGCGTGGCGCCTCCTGCCATAGCTGTGCCAGCTCCTGCCAGGAGTGATCTGCAAAAGAGTTTTACATGCACACCTGTAGGGACAAAGCCTAGTCCTCCCCTCTACACCGACCCAGCTAGTGGAGGTCCTCCTCAATCAAAGCTTTCGTCACCAGCAGGCAGCTAGGCAAAAGCTTCAGCCACCGGCCCATTGCAGCAGGTCGGATCCGATGTGTTAGACTTGAGGCCGAGGGCAGGTGACGAAAGCTACAGTAGCAGGGATGCATCCGTGTCAGTGGAGGCGAAGCATACAGCGCCGTCCAGTGACAAAGGACTGGTGGGATATCAAGCGGAGTGAGGCAAATCTTTTTTCATAGGCATGGGGCTGTTGGAGGGATGGTTCACAAGGTCTCGCTCATGAGGTAAAACGTTGTGAACATGTAAGACACGCGAACAGTAATGACACGGCCAACCTTAGCTTGTGAATCTGTTGAATCTGTTGCATCGTATCCCAAAACCTCCACGGAGGAGTTGAACCAAGTGGATGCCATAAGAGGTGTCCAAGAGGTGTCCGTCCCAGAGGCGTCCCAGGGGGGAGTTGAACCCGCGGGGGGGGGGGGCCTCTACACATGAACTTTTCACAAGATGCGGCGATCTCGAGGATTCCAGCCCCTAACTTGCTAAAGCAAGGACAACTCCAGCTAGCTGATGCTAGCTTTCGTGAAGAGTGCCGTCATTCCCAGGGCAGGTTAGCTGAGAATGAAGGATTTGGGGGTAGCCCTCCAGCCGGTTCAGAGTGTGCTGTTGTGCTGGTTGCGCGTGCTATTCGAGGTGGCACTCGAGTCACCAACACGGATTCAAATACAAAAGGTTAGTCTGCATGCATGGCTTTGCTTTGAGAAAGCGCCATGGACATTTCAAAGGCCAAGCCTATCAACGTGGACTTGGAGGCCATACCAAGTGCAGCCTTGCAGGTCCCTTGACAACATCTCGAAACTTGGACTCTTGGAAAGTCTGGAAGCTAGTGCTGAGGGCCTGGGGGTTCTTGTTGACACCAAGAGTGAAAGCTAAGATGAGGTCGAAGGCGAGCCTGACGATTGCGAGAGCAGTGGCTGACTTGTCAACAAGCTGTCGGTTCTAGGCACGGTCATCTGACGGGGGAACCATGCTTTTTCCACGCGCTAGCCATCAGAATCACTTGCTTCTTCCATTGGCTCTGCGGATTGTTCTACCTCCTGGCCAACACCTGACGCACACAAATGCAAAGGGCCAGTGACCAGTGACAAATCAACGCTGCTTTCAAAACCTCAGGCCTGATTAGTCCACTGATACTTTAGGTCAACAAGCTCACATCAAGGTACTGGAATTCCAGCTCCTATGGAATTCTGACCCAAACCCAACATTGCTGTTTCCCTGTCACCAACCTGCCGCTCTCCGCGCCGCACTGATGCTTTTGCCTTCTTCGATGGCAGATCTGAGGGCCTGACAATGCGGGTGCCGCCAAAATAATGACTCCAAAAGAAAAGCAAAACATCCGTGAGAGCGAACAAGTCCACAGAACGGTCTTGCAGTGTCCAAATAACGAAACTCGCTAGACCGAAGGGGGCCCCAGCCCAGTCAGTGGCCAAGAAGCTGCCACAACTGAATCGTCTGGAGTTTCTTGACAAAGTCCAGCCAGTTCGTCTGGCCATGCCCACAGAACTCGCCAGCCCATGGCCTCCGCGATTCCAAGCCAGGAGGTGGACAAATGCGATGCAGCCGGCAATTATAGATGCAGCTGGTGCGCTGCTTCCTTCTCATTGGGGGATTTGGTTGACTGTGAATTAGGTGCAAATGAAATGCCTTACAACCCACCTTGAGGGTGGCTTCCATTAGCCGCGCATGGCCCGTGAGCTTGTTGCCAGAGGTTTTGTGGGCTGCCCTGGGCACCACAATACCCAAGCACAGCCTGGCCAAATGATCTCAGAATCTAAATTGAAGTGCCCTAAGAATCCTGGAAAAATGCACATGTCCATTGATTCGGAATAGCAACATGCGCTGCAAGTTGGGCATGCCATCAGATTTCTCTTCACGCGAGGAAGAATGTCTAGGCTCGGCGCCTCTCAAAACCAAAGTCCACCACAAAGGGCGTACCAGGCACCTGACACCGGATGTTGGGTTGGCAAGTCTTTGTGCACCTGTCACAGTAGAACACCGACGGCAGTGCACAGCGACGAATCGTGTACCTGACAAAGAATCCTGCAGCGTACTCAGAAACACACAGGGAGACTTTCCACACAGATTGACAAGGATCCGTCCTTGACATGGATACATATCATATTATCATAATGATATTTGGTCATGGTTATTAAGATCCGAACTAGACCTCGGGGACATGTTTGTCGCGTTCTTTTCAGCTGGCTTTTGGGGGTGCCTGGGTTCTTTCCCAGATACCCGCCCCAGAATTCTATCAGGAAAACATCGGAGGCTTGATCGGGGCTTTTCCAAGCATCCATATAGACTTGAGAATCAAAGAAGTGAAGCTAACCAAGTGGCTGCCCCTTTGCCAAATTGACCCGCCTGGAGCTGTTCCTCGCTGAGCTGCGCCGGCAGCGCAGACGCGAGCGCCAGACGGAGATGGTCCTGTAGCTCCTCGTCGAAAAAAATCGCACGGTCGCTTCGCCCACCCCTTCCCTTTGACCGTTTCGCCATGTTCTAATGGAAAGGAATCCAGTCGATGCTAGGTGTCAACCTACTTTGGCCTCGGCCGAGCTAGGAGCTGTACTGTACAATTCTTGGTCTATTTGCCGGCAGGGACGTCCAACTCTGGATCAGCCCGCCCTCGGTGCGCCTGCGTCTGTCGATTTCCTTCCAGCCCAAATGCTGGGAGTTTGCTGTCCTGGAGGGGAGTTTCTGTGAAGCCTTGGGCATCTTCTTAACCCACGTCACTTTATGTGGTGGACCACATGCACATACTAGACTCCTAAGCGGCCGGCCCAAGAAGCACAAACCCAAGTGAAGTGGTCAAATCGGTCGCTGCTCCTTCGGTGGGAACACAGACCTATCCAATGCTGCAGCGTTTGGCGCAAGCCTGGCGAAGGATGCTAAAGGGCCCTTAGGCCTTAGGCCATAAACTCTTGGTGGTCAAATCATGAATAGTCTCAGGGTAAACCATCCTTGAGGGAGGGGTTCTTGGAACTTGGTCAGGTCTCCAGCCTCAAGTTGGTCCACGCGGTTTTGGATGACAAATGCCGTGCAGCCAAGGCCAAAGCCCAGAGCTTCGCACAAGACTCAGCAGATTTCACCTCCTCAGCAACTATAGAGATGCTGTGTACTGGAGGGAGTGACCTATAAGACAGGCACAGGTGAGCAAGACAATGAGAAGATGATTGCACCATTGAGTAGAGTCCGTCGGCACGATGCAGTCAATGTAGTGCCGTGTAAAATGTATATACAGTACACGCTTTTTGGGATGTACACCCCGTGGGACATGTATTACCAGGTGGTGCAGGATTGTATCTCTCACATACATGGGGATTCCTGGAAGCATGTTCTACAACTGTGACATGAGGATAGCATCACTTCTTGCACAGACATATAGTCATCTCAAAGAAGGTGGTGTACAACCCAAAGAGCACGGTCACCATTCGTGTTTGAGACTTTGTATGAACCTCCGCAAACTTCCCAGCCCGCGCATCCGTTTCGTGAGAAGGGGCGGCTGCACAGTGGGTAGCCAAGACCCACGCGTATGCAAGCATGTTGAACGGCAGCTTGCCACCATGCAGCCCAGCAAGAGAAAAGAGCAGCTCTACCATCCCATCGCAAGGTTCAGGATTCCTTGTAGGGCGGCCAGCACACAGCACACAAATCACCGGTGAAGCCCTGCACAAGCAAGCTTTCCACATCAGCATCACCTACGCGCAGAAAGTAACGTATCAGACCCTTTTCTCTTGGTCTTGGTTTGCAGCTAAGCTTCCTTGCCAGGACGCGGAGTCCCTTGTAGAGCATGGAGTTGAAAATGGGCTCTTCCAAGCCCAAATCTGCCAAGGCCGCACAAACGACAGACATCACCTCCTGGACCTTCTCAGGCTTCTCTGGCATGTGCTCAAGAAGGAGCTTACACACCTGCACGTAAAGGATGAGCAGCCTCTGAACCGAAGAAAGAAGCAACCACCATGGCAGCCTAATGCTATAGCGGTTGCAAACCCAAGTGACTGACTTGCAGGGGGAAATGAAAGAGAGTACCGTCACAATACCTACCGTTGAAGCCGGCACGGCAGCCATAGAAGCAAGGAGCAAAAATAGAGAGAGAGAGAGTTGTGTTGCAGTTGGTACCAGTGCAGAAATGGTACCAGATAAAACTACTCTACTTCGAGTGATCCCCACCATGACATTTAAATCTGATAAAATTTCTGGCGTGTATTGAAACATTATGTCGGCATTCTGACATGTCTTCTGACATTCTTTCCGTCATTTTTCTGGTGTATCTTCTGACACTATTTCTGACATTCTTTCTGGCGTTCTATCTTGCATATCTTCTGACATTCTTTCTGACATTCTTTCTGGCATATCTTTTGACATTCTTTCTGGCACTCTATCTGGCACATCTGATGGACTTTTTCTGGCATTCTTTCTGGCGCTCTATCTGGTATGTATGTATATATATATCTCTCTCTCTCTCTCTCCCTCTCTCTCTCTCTCTCTTCCGACTCGCGGTTGAGGTCCGGCGGGGAACACTGCCATCCTACACTTGCGGGTTGAGGAGGACGAGGAGAAGAAGGAGGAGAGGAGAAGCACAGCAGCTGACATAAAATCTAACAACCCTCACCTGACAGGTGGGGAATTAGAGGGAAAAAATAGTTCTTTCTAAGAGCAACAACAAAGCAATCTGCTTTGCTTTTGCATGTTCTTTGCTGGTGTTTTGCTTTTTTGGTGCCTTCTTTTTGCAAAAACCGGCCCAGCCTTGATCATCTGCTCCTGCACCACTTCCACATCACCAGCCCGTTCAGCCCGCGCGGCCCGCTTCAGATTCGAAGCGCATTGGATCAAATAATCCACGTCCGCAGAGTCAGAGACTGACAGCCTGTCTTCCATCACTCGCTTGTCCAGCTCCTGGACTGCCTGGCTCATGGCAGTAAACCAGCTAAATCAGAAACCCCGAAACCACTCGGCCCATCACAATAACTTGCTCAAAGGCTAAGCAGCGTCTCCCCTGCACCACATGACAATGAATGATTTGCGCGCCGTTAAAATGACCTTGCTTGACAATGCTTGTGCCACCTTTGCTTCATGAACCAGGAGCGAAGCAGCAAATACAGAATTGGCTGAACCAATGTTGTGGCAGAGAATGCCCAGCACTTGTAGACCAAGCAGGTGTTACGAGGGTATGTGACACAGTTTTTACAGTAGCCGCTGGGTCGAGAAAAAGCCTGTGAGATCTTCCAGTGACAAGCGCAAACACATGTCTGGGTGGCCATGGCAGCTGCTTGCACATCGAAGCTCACCTCAGCTGTGTGCAGCGTATTGGGCACCAGAATGGAATCGCATGCCAATCTTGGAAAATGCGTTGAAAATTATGGTGGGGAGGGGAGGTCCACTGGCCCATTTGGTGAAACATCCCTGTGCATGTTGATGCTTAGCATGTTTGTCCTTGAAAAGGCTCTTCTCCCTTCATCCTGCCATTCCTCCCCACCGCTCACCTTTGCCGTGAGCTCAAGGAGTTCCGAGCCAGCCAGTGCCGGCAAACTCTCCAGGAAGGTGGCGTGGAGCTTTTCGCAAAGAATTGACGCGGTCTCCAAAGCCTTGAGGCGAAACAATGAAGGAAAGGGAATTGCAAAAACACAGTCCCAGCCAATTCAATTCAAGTTGGTGCTTGGACAAGTCAAGTATAGTTCAGTCAGGTTTAAGGTCAAAGAAAATGGTGGACATTGGCCGGGCATCGAACCACCAGGGCCTTCCTTTGAGCTGTTTTGTCCCCTACTATGGCTCGACAAGTGCCTCGGCCTCTCACCCATAGGAAATCCTCTTCCCGTCTCCACTGCCAAGTATCCGAAAGCTCCACCAAACATTCTGCTATTCTCCTGTCAGTTGTGTTTTTTCTCTATTTTGATCTGCCAACTGTGCGAAAGGGAGCAGCTAAGAACTCAACTTCCAACTAACAAAAAGGCGCATGTCCTTTGATAGAGAAACTGGCCCTTTCTGTATCACATCACACTGCTGCATGAGACAACCTACTAACCTACTGTATCTGCCTTTGGCAAAGCCCATGGACCCATGCATCCTTTGGACAGCCGATGTGGAACCAGGATAGGGCTCAGTGACATTGAAATAATATATACTGTAACTTCAACTTCTTATTCAAGTTCTGTATAGGCATTCATTTCTGAAAGTTCATGCTACATGTCCAACAAAAGCCGGCCGGTTCCTGACATCCAGCTTGCATCGCTCAGGCTCGCAAACATCCCGCGCAGCAGCGGACAACTCGCTGTTCTCGAGCGCTTGTTGCTCCAGCTCGGCCCACAACAAGAGGACCAGGTGCTGCACCTTTTTGACTTCCAGTAGCTAAGGCAGCTAAGGAAGGTGGGGATACAGAAGGGGGTGTGCTGCTCTGAATCTTCTTGAGGCAGTAAAACCAACTCATTTGTATGCTTGTCTTCAGCGCCACGGCAAATTCTCCACAATATGTTCTGTAACGCACATGATGTGCTATGCTGTCCGCCATTGTCCCCCTCTTCAGCCTACTGCGTCCCGCGCACATGCAACGCAAACAAGGCGCTTCGCTCCTCACAATCCCATTGCGTGTGTAAGGTGCGAGGCGAAACAAAAAAAGACTCATGATCACACCACAAACGGTGGGAGAGAAGTGCTGTTGATGATTGGTCACCACCACGCGTAGCCGTAGCCAAAGGTCAATCGTGTTCGAGCTTGCAAGACTAGTGATCAAACTCAGCTCCTCAGCCACTCGTGACTCATGACTTGGTGATATCGCTTTCCACTAGACCAGCTCCGACTCAAGACGTCATTGGGAGGCTTCAACGAAACACAGCGAGATGGCACGCCATCACGCAAGTGCTCTTTCCCAAGCACGATCAGGGAGAGAGGAATCTGTGGCTCGGGGGAAAGTTTGCAGGGGCATGTGCTCGGTTGCAACTTTGCTGTTGCCACCACTAGTACCCGAAAGGTTCGTTTGCTCCTGTTAACTGCGCTTGTTGTTACTTGATGTGGTGGTGGCTTTGAGTCACACTATTTGGGCCTGCAAGCAGCTTCCAAGGAAAACGAGACCAACCGTTCAGAAGGCTACAAAAACTGAAAAGCGAGCGAAGACTATGCAAGTGAGCAGGAAGGTGGTGAGGTTGATTTGCACCAGTTCGCTGGTCTAATTATTCTAATTCCCCACGAGAAAGCCATGCAAGGGATACATAAACGACGTGCCATTTGGGCTTTTCAGGTGATTCGACCTTTGTCGTTACTATCGATCAACACCTCACGGCCCACGACGCGCTGGTTGAACAAATGCAGGCAGGTGGCTTCTGCCAGCAAATCTTTCCGTTTGACGGTGGAAGGGTCAGATTTTGTGTCGCTCGCATCCTGCACGGCATTTGTGCCGCTCGGCTTCCACACACCAAGTTCGACAAGGTTCAAGTTCTGCCAGCCAAAAGACAACTCAGCCGAATGCTGAAATCATTTGCCTCTGCCTACATACAAATTACAAGGGGAAAAACATCTTGTATAACTGATGCTCATACTACAACTCTCACACCCCCAAAAATCTTATACAGTATCATTTCGGAATACGCTTCCTCAATTCTACACCGGCTCTCCCACTCGAGCCTGGTCTTGTTGCACCTCAAGCCCCTGATCAGCTGTCTCCTCATCAGCTGTCTCCTCAGGCTGACCCTCACGAGCATCATCCAGCGGAGGCTTTTTCGCAGCAGCACCAAGCCGCTGGGCCTTACGTCATTCCTAGCATACGTGCTTCTTACGATCTTGGATTAAACCTTGAGCCATGCGATCCGTCCCCATGTCGATTTCACAACCAACTTCTACGCGGGGAAGCTGCCTCAAGGCTCTCATCTTGGACGGCCTCATCCTCTCCAGCATTGTCCAGCAAAGGCTTTCCCATAGCTGCACCAAGCCCCGAGGCCTTGGGCAAAATGAGCTTCCATTGGTCTTCTTGTTCGGTCAAAGACCCTAGTTGCTAGTTGCCAACTTTGACGTTGCAAGAATCGAGAAAAGCATAAATCAACACTTGCAGGCACAGAGAGAGAGAGAGAGAGACAGAGAGAGAGAGAGAGAGAAAAAAAAAAAAAGGCAAGAGCAAGAGCAAGAGCCGGTGAGAGAGAAAAATAATGTGGTAGAGCCCATCTCAATGTCCACCACAGCTACCTCAAGAAGCTACATGACAATGGCCCTCTATCATCTCTATTGCCTTCATCTCCCGGCCTCTTGGCTTGCCTCGGCTGCCAAATGGCCTCCCACATGCTCCTGGGCCTGCTGCAGGATGCGGAGGAAATGCTGGACAATCCTCGGTCTTCTTTGTCCAAACATTGGGCGGTTTAGCGCGTGGTTGGTGACAATAAAAAGGAGTATATAAAATAGATACAGAACGGTTAGGTTGCGCCAGGCATCTGCTCCACACATTTGGGCATCTTGACTTGGTTTTGCCGCATCGCGCGGACTGACTTGAGCATCTCCATCATGGACATGCGGCCTTCTGGAATCCCATGCGACTCCAGGATCTCTCCTTAGGGAAGGGTGGGAAAGAGTTGGATTTTAAAAAAGAAACCATGGTCACGGCCCCATGCCCACTCCTCTGTCCTTTATATTGGCAGCATCTGCCAAGGCTAAGTTGAGCTTTCTAGTGCTTGCCTAATTTAGACCTGAAACCATCCGCAAGAAAGGATCCGGAAATAGGCCATGGCCATGCCATGTTCCAAGCACTCTCGCCCTTCGTTTGGAGGATATCTAAAATCTCTCTATCTCTCTCTCTCTCTCTCTCCCTCTCTGTGTCAGGAAAGTCTGGCTACCGCGCCGCCATTTTCACAGGGAAGAATGAAGTTGCCTTCTTGAACAGCTGAGAAGGGTTGCATATACAGGGGTTGGCTGAACTTCTGCCTTGGGCCTTGTGCAGGTATGCACAACAATCTATGGAATGCTCGCGCAAACCACCAAAATCCCAGCGGCCAACACGGTCGAACTTTACGAGCAACTCCGGGTGCTTCTGAGCCAAGCCAGCTTCACCTGATCCGATTTATATATATATACATAGAAAGATAATCATATAGTCATGTCATGTCACGACTCATGACCTTGAACATGTTATGCGTGTTCTTATCAACGGTCTGGTAGGCTAGGGATAAGGAAGGCAATCGATCGTTCTTGTTTGACATTCGGTCGAGTGTTGAATGATCATCAGCTCTTGCGCCTTGGCCATGTGGCATTGATCAATGCCATTTTGGCTCAAGGCTCGAGCTCTATCCTTGAATTCTCCTTCGGTCCCACGTTCGTGGGAAGGGCCTGGGCGTTCATGGCGAGACGTTCTCATGGCGGGTCTGGAGGAGGATGGAGCTCAGGGCAGGCCGCCGGTGGATATGGTCACACTGGCGGAAATGCAGCTCATAACCCATTCGAGGTCAAGCTGCCAAAGTTCCTCTATTGGCTCGAGATGAACGAGGACAACATGGAGGAGAACTCGGTGATCATGGTCGACGACCGAGATGCTCGCATGGTCTCCCCTTTTCAGGGTTGGCTGACCAAAGAGATCATGAGCAATTCAGCGAGTTCAATCAACGTCCTGACAGAGCGTGACCAGGTCATGCCACCCAACTCGGGCTTTCACCTCACCTTGTTCGGCAACTACACGCTGGACGGAATCAAAGTCGTGGTGGTGGTGGCGCTCGACACCGAGACGGGGTGCATGAATGCGGGCTGGGATCAGCCCACGGCAGAAGCTCTGTCGCATCCGGCTTTTCAGCCATTTGCGTGGCCGCTGCTCAGGGATACCTCTGCATCCTACACGGACGTGAAGATCTACAATGGCAATGAGGTTCTTTTCCATTGGATCTTTAGGGGGTATCGATCTGATACTGACCTGACTGTTCAGCAGCAGTTCGTGGACGAAGTCCTGGTTCGAGAAGCTAACCGGGGTAAACCCAGGCTCTCTGTGGTTGTGGCTTCGTTCATGGGCTGGCGGGTGACCGTGTTCTCTTTTGAATGCGGAGGCAGGGTCTACTCGGTTGGGCCGAATGGCGCGGTCGTGGCCACAGACCATGCGCGCTCGCGCTTTGAGCTCAGAGTGTGTAGCAGGTCGTCTACGGATGCTTTGGGTAACGATGCTGATCGAGTGGAGTTCAGGTTCAGAGATGCCAACAACCGCATGGATCTCAAGTGCCAACGGACATCCGTCCCCGGGACTTGGCTCACGGTATCCCACATCTCCGGGCCGGCTCTCATTCAGACGATCACCAACGTGAGGAACTCCCGCGCTCGCGTGGAGGGCCCGGAGCACACTGAACAGTTCGGGCAGCTTGCCGCGGTCCATCAACATTGGTGGAACAATGCGGTCGCGAAGTCCACCCGAGACGTAGGCTGCTGGACGGACTTCATCGGGGATCTCGAGCAGGGCAACTTCCATATTACCTGCACGTCCAAGTTGTGGGTAGCCGCGCCGGAAGTGGTCAACAAGACCGCGCTCGCGGAGATGCAGCACACTGGCTCTGGAAGACTAGCGCCTGTGGGGCCGCCCTCGATCACCATGGGGGCGTGGTCCAACGCTGCTGAGGAGGCGTGTTCCGAAGCTCGCAATCGTGGCAGTGGATCTGGAGTCGTTTCGTCGTCAGCTCAGGCAGACTATGAGATGGCTCGGCGATCGCTGAACCAGAATGCTCCGGTCAACCTGTCTACAGGTCATGTGGAGGATGAGGCAAGAGATCAGGCTCTACTCGATCGGAGATATGCCCGATCGTCCGCCCAGATCACGCCGGCCGTTTTTGCAGCACAGATCTCAAGAAAGGTCTTCGTTGAGACGACGGCCACGATCGAGGAACTCCCACCTGGGGATCTCCCACTTCCACACCCGAAGACGCAGGAGGGACCCGTTCAGACCAAGTCGACACCTGCTCCTGTCCCTGAGTCGAAACCCGACCCTGCGTTCGAGTGGGGCGATCGTCCCCAGACGCCACGGACAGATCCTACGGTCTTTAAACCGGCGTCAGCCGACACGTAAGATCTGTGACATCGTGGTTGAAGTTCTTTTTCCATTTTAAGTTGAGTCCATATGTTCTTCGGATCATTGACGATCCCATGTCGGCGGCGGCCCGCTGGAGTGACAAGGCTGATCAGCTTTTGGGGCGAGGTTGGGGGCTTTCGTGCTAGTGGGATGCGGTAGGTCACAGGTCTTACCCTTTCCACCACGAGGCCCCCTTTCGTTGCTCCCTTTCACTCTTTTGGGCGGTTGGTTTGAACCGGCTTGGATCTTTCTACCCCGGTGGGTTGGTCAACCGTGTCCGTTTTTTTTTCGACCAGGCCGGATCGTCTGCGATCGATGGACTCGGTATCTTGTCGGCGGTCGGAGGTGTGGCGGCGGCAGTCAAGATCCCTGGCAGCTGCGGCGCCCTAGAGATCCTGGGGTGTTTGACGGGTTCGACTGACTCCGCATGCGGCGTTCGATCGATGCGGCGCGGGGGCAGCTCTTTTGTTTGTTTGATGTCCTGAATTGATCATGCAGGTCGCGCTCAATTTCTTTCATCGGTACGATCGTGCCGGGGCATGCAGATCGATTCGCAATCGTCTCACGATGTGATTTTCCGCTCGAGTGTCGATCGCGCCCAACCTTTGGTCACGCGCCGCCCAAGGCCCAGTCGCCGCCAAGATCCCTGGTGGCTCTGGGCGAGGCATGGACCGTTCGATGGCTGCGTTCTTCGCGCTGCCGCTGTTCAGCGAGAGCTTTGCTCGTGCGCTGTGCAAGCTGGGTCTCGGCAAATGCGAGTTCTGGCTCGCTCTTGATGAGGGCGAGGAGGCTGACGAGCAGATCGCTCGGCTGGTCAGCGTCATGGATGGAGAGCAGTCTGATCGTGACGAGGTGCTCGCCAATTTGGATGCGGTGCAGATCCTGCACGGCATGGTGACGATGGCTCGTACTAAGGTCATGGCGGAGATCGCCAATGATCTTGGCTACGGTGAGGCCGCGTGTTCAGATCCAGGACGTGCGGGCGGACCGGTGCCAAAGGCGGGGGCTCCAGATCCCGGGGTCCCGTCTTTCAAGAAGCCTAAAGTCACTGCTGCAAATGGTGAGGTCTCCTCCTTGAAGGACGAGGAGGAGAGAGAGAAGATCAAATGGGCTGCGAGGCTGAAACGGATCGCCGACAAGGCGGGCTCCGCGGCTCAGATCAACTCATCCATGGGCGGTGATCTGTCGCCCGAGGAACAGTCTGAGATCAAAAGCCTGGTGTTTCGCTCTGGGGCGTTTAGGACTATCAGGCTGCATGTGCTTGCTTGGGAGCGCATGGAGAAGTGGGCTGTTGATCACGGCCTGTCGATTTACCCTCCGTCGACCCAGGTGGTCACCAAGTATTTCCTGGCCCTGCAAGATAGCGGCTGCGGCCCGGCAGTTCTGCCAGGGCTGAGGCAAGCTATCCGGTGGATCTGCAAGAGGCTGGCCATGACACCTCCTGATACGGGCGATCCGGCAATGGAGGCGATCGTCGCCAAGGTCTATGAAGAGCGAGGCAAGGAGCTCAAAGAGGCGGTGCCAGTGCCGCTCAAGGCGGTCGCTGCTCTGGAGTACCTCGTCAATGCTCTCATATTGGAGGGCAAGATCCCTGCTGCGATCTTTGTTTGGTGGATCCTGATTTTGATCTACGCGTCGCTTCGGTGGGACGATGGGCGACACGTGTCGCCGTCCTCCTTGGTGCTCACCGGGGATGCACTTGTGGGTCTGGTCTGGCAGACCAAGGTGGAGAGGAGGCGCAAGGGCACGCGGTTCGCCGTGCCGATGTGCAGCCTGGCCGGGGTCAATTGGTTAGAAGAGGGGTGGCACGCTTTTCAGCAGTTCAAGAACGATCGGGACTTTTTCATTTGGGACCTGGTCGATGAAGGCCAGTTCGATGTCGTGCCGATATCCTCCGAGAGAGGGCTCCCCTGGCTTCGATACTTTTTAGACCAGGCCTTGACGATCGCTCTCGAAGACCATGTCATCGACGCCGTCGACACTGATTTTGTGAGAGCTCAATGTGCGAAAGTGACGTGCCATTCGTTGCGCGTCACCTTGCTAGACGCGGCGGTTCACGCGGGGGCTGACGACAAAGTCATCGGTCTTCAAGCTAATTGGAAAGATCCCAGCCAGTTAGTTTTGAAGTACGCTCGAAGTCGCAAGGAGCTCTCCGTCCGTATGGTTCAGGATCTGGCCACGGCTATTCGTGAAAGCTGGACACCTGATCAGGAGAGTTTCGAAGTTGAGGACGAGCCAGAGGTCGTGGCCCCGGCAGTTCGCGAATACGTGGCCAAAGCTACGATGCCGTCCAAAGCTCTTGTGGCTTCTGACTTCAAGTATCATATCATGGATACAGTGATCAACGAGTCGCACACCTTGTGTGGGCGACTGAAGTTGTCGGACGTGGTCTCATTTGGGCCTGACGCTCCGGGCATGATCTGCCATCACTGTCAGACTAAGTTGAAATCTCTGCAGTGATCCCCTGCAGGAAAAGAGCGATCGATCCTTTGATTTGCAGTCGTTTTAGACATCTTCAGCTTGGTTTTTGAGATCATGTATTCAATTCGCGCTTGAGTTCGGATTTTGTATTTGATTAGGTAGTATCTAATGCGGGCATTCACGATTTCCTTAGTTTGATTCTGATCTCTCTCTTGCCTTCACACCCGTGCCGTTCGTTGCTAGGATTGCGGTGATCGCAGTTCGGAACGTTCGGTCGGTCGGCGCTCGATCCGGCGCTGTGTGAGAGGTGAGAGAAAATTCTATGTTCGCCGCGCTAGATCCCAGCCGGCTCAAGCAGTGCTCACTGCGATGGTGGATCGCACCACCTACACCGATGAAGCCCACACGCCGAAGCTTGCCTTGCGCCAGATCTTTGGGCGCCAAGGGCTCAAGAGTGAGCTCTGTGTGGCAGCGGCTGACGCGGGGCTTCTTTCCGTAGAAGTTTTCGCCATGCTCGGCGATACTGCTGCGGCGGCAAAGACTGCACTGAGGGCGATCGTGCCCGAGCACGCTCTTGGTGCTACAGGTGGCG